GCGGGGAGCAGAAACAGTGGAAGGAGCTGCAGTGGCATTTCTAATGCACTGAGGTGTAATATACAGCACCAGGGCGTGCAAGCCAGTGCTGGGTTTATTTATAACTAATTGTGTGAGGATCCTTGTTTGTGGTTCTGAAATCCCCATGTTTCTTACTCCTAGCGGTTACTGCATCAGACAGCTGTTGAATAAGTAGCCTTATTTTTCTAGACTCTTTATAGAATTCCTTATCTACTCTGGTCTTCAGTTCAATGAACCATTTTAAAGATTTTTTTCCCCTTACTTATATTATTTTTGCTCTATTTCTTTACATGATAAATTCAAATCTAGATTCAAGACCTTTCACTAAGCTGATCTCTAACTAAAAATCCTGAGCACAAATATTATTCAGATCTAACTTAAAAGGGAAAATGATGCCTTATGCCTGAATTATCTCAACATATGCTTACAAATATATTTGAGAGGTATCCCCGCCACTCTTTATTCACTTTCTAGGATGTCTCAGTCAAGGCCAAGAAATGTAGCTATAATGGCATTTTTATAGGCAAGCTAGCAAAGAGAAAACTGTCCAGTGAATACTAGTTTTGTTTCAGGTAAGTTGGTGCATCTCTGGCGTTATAAGCAAGTTGAGTATGTTGGTGTATGTGTCTTCTATTTTTACAATGAAGACTCATTGCTAATTTTTCCATTGTCTTTTCTTAGTCTCTTTATCTTAGGAAGAAATTAGTAGGTGCATTATTATCTTAACCTTGAGGAAAGCTTTGCAGCAAAACTGCCAGTTTCCAAGAAAGAAGGAGAAAATAATGAGAATTACTGGCTGACATTTTAAATTTTATTTAACAAGTAAAAACAACCCATTGAGCCAGAACTTAACTTACATTAGGGTTCTGACAGACTACAGCTACAGCTGAGAATTCCCAGTCATTCAAAATGCAAACAAGAATCACTTAAAACCTACAATAATAACTTTGTACTTATCACTTTCATACTTCTATGCTCAAGTAAAATACCTGGTTTTATTTTTCTGTTGCATGCAAAAATTCATTTATCTTAAACTGATATCTGGCTATCTGAAAGACAGTTTAACCCTAAATCTCTTTTTTATGAGTTCATGGTCTTTGGAGGGAGGGGCATACTAAAATGTGAAGCTATGACTTTTCTTTCATCGTTTGCTAGTGTAAATAGCTTTCAGTGTTTCTAAAAGTGCTTAGGACACTCCTCACCTCTTTGTTAGTCCTAAAAGACAATTCCAACTGGAAAGTGACTTTCTGTGTTGGCTTATTTGTTAATGAGATATTTATCTGTCTCCACAGGAAAAAGTGTTTAGAGTTAACTCTCTGGTAGCACCTAATATGGCCACTTCTTAATGCCAGTAATATTCCTCAGGTTACAAAAAGACATCATTTATTCATGTTGGATAGTTAGCAGATGTCTTCCTTCTTGGGTTTAGTGTAGTAATTGTACAGACTTCAAAGTCCTCTTATGTCATAATGTAACTAGATCTAACTAGGCTTATATTGAACGTAATCTTTCACACTGTATGATAACATACCATGCTTTTCAAATGTTCTTCCACTAAGAACTACAACTTTAAATTGTATAATTCATAATCTCTGTAACTCTCAGAAGTGGATTCACCCTTACCCTCAGGGGGAGTCCTCATCTCCACCAGGTTTCTCTTCCTTCCTCTGTATCATAAGGTGACTAGGACCAAAATGGCAGAAAGAGAGAGCTCTGGGCTGTACGTTTTTCATTATCCTAACATGATGTGTTTCCATAGCAGACAGAGCAGTTCTTGATGATTGCAGCCTCTGATGACGGTGCTAGTTGCTTTCTTGGAGACAGGAGTCTCCTCAAACAGAAACTAAATTGATCGGTGCTGTTTGTAGCTTCATTTCTGAATGTGTTCACAGAATCATTTCTGGATTCTCTGGTGGCAGTTGTGATATCACACAACTTGTTTAAAGTTCTTGCTAGAAAGAAATCCATATTACACCACACAGTGCTTGCTTTTGTTGTTTTCTGAGGCAGACATAGAAATTCTGCCTCTTGATCAGCTCAGAGTGAGTTATTATTTATCCTAAGGACACCCAAATCTCACTCCAACCACTCTCTGGACTCAGTTTACTAAAAGTAGATAAATCACAAATCCCCCTTCTTCCAGTGCCCACCCCCCAGTGTGGAAGCACTGATTCTGTGCACATCCAGTCCCAGCAATAGCCCATAATTCCCCAAAGTGGATACTGAAACCAGTTCTAATAGTGAATGCTGCATTACCTGTGTTACTATTTTCAAGAATAATTGTGCTGATTTAAGGGGAAAATCTCAGCTAGGAAAATAATCAGTGTAGGGGAGGAAAAAGTTTTCCTTATCCCTCTTTGGGTCCCTGGCTGGGTCTGAAAATTATGCTGACAGAGACAAATTAACAGGAGAAAAACATACAGGTTTAGTAAATTATGTTTTTCATGATGTGGGAGCCTTTATAAGGAAATGACAGCCCAAAGAAATGGAGCTGTGTATTTGGTGCTGTGTTTGATGAAGACCGGGCAGTCATGCAGCGATGTGACGGGTTAAGGAGTGTGAGGTGCTCGTACTCAGGAGCAGCGAGCTGCAGGAAGCTTGGCAGGGCCTGTTCCGATTGCTCTTGGCATCGCTGTGTCGTTGGAGATGCCCCTTTACTCTGGGTATTGGGAGAGCACCTCCCACGTGAGGGTTTAATGACCTGTTTCAGGGAAGAAGGGTGAGGGGTGTGGGAGGTCAGAGCGACCTTTCTGCTTCTGCTGTTTTCTCAGATGTCTTCAGCTTAAAGTAGTCAGTGTCCCAAGGTGCCATATTTGGGGCTTGTGTGTCCCGGACCCCATCATGAGCAATCCCCCATGCCCATCTCCAGAAAAAAACATGTCTTTATTCCTTCTTGACACAACTGACCATTGACATCACCACTGACTGCATCCAAGGAATATTCTGATTCCAAAACTTTGGGGGATAGTGGAAGAAATTATTTACTTCCCCTTACACCAGTAGCAGCAAGATTTTTTTCCAAAAGTAACTTTACTAGGATTCAAAGAGAAGGTTGAAAGATAGAAATACAGAAGCTTGTAGAGCACAGATGCCTCCTATCAAGGATCT